GTGTGTATGTGTGTATATATATACGTGTGTGTGTGTATGTATGTATGTGTGTGTGTGTATATGTATGTATGTGTGTATGTGTGTGTATATGTATGTATGTGTGTATATATGTATGTATGTGTGTGTGTATATGTGTGTGTGTGTGTATATATATATGTGTGTGTGTGTGTGTATATATGTGTATATTGTACTCTCCTCTCTTGTTGTCCAGGAGCTGACAGACGAGGGTCCGGTACCCGTCACTCTGTTCTGCTCCAACAAGATGGGACAGTCCATCAGCATCGCAGACTTTCTGGCCAGTGAGGGCCTCGCCCTCAGAGAGAGAAAACCCAGGTGTGCGTGTGTGTGATTATTAGGATTTATAGGTCTTAAAAAGCATCAGCGACCTTTCGTTTATCTTCTCTTCTGGTCACAACACATCAGAAGCTTTGGATAAATTAAATAGAGAGAATAAATCTAAATTCCTTGGATGTTGTATCTACGTTTGTCTGTTATTATAATCTTCAGTCAGACTCTTTTGTAAACATTTTATAACTCTTCACTATTCTTTGACAGCCACTACTTTGTGCCGATATTCAACGTCTGATATTCTGTTTATAACATCTGTTGCAAGAGTGAAACAGTACCTTAACATAAACCATGAACTGTACGCTACCAATATTTAACAGATTTGTTTAAATTAATGAAAACAACTTACTAGAAATCTCAGGTACCCTACAAACGTAAAACTAGAGATTGACCATAAACTCATGTTTACAATGTTTACTGAGGTAATAAATCATAGACTTCTATACAACCAGAGGAGTCGCCCCCTGGTGGACACTAGAGAGAATGCAGCTTTAACACATGAAGGCTGGCTGAAACACACTCTGCCCGATCAGGTTCTTACTGTTTGTTTCTTTCGTTCCTCTTGCAGAGATGCTGCCATTCAAAAATCCAAAGAAGCTGATGCACAGTCTCCAGTGAGCGAGATGCAGACTGACGGTTCTGATGGTGACGAAAAACAAACTCCCGCCGCTCCTTCTGGCGCTCCTTTCTCCTCTGTCGTCTCCACTCCAAAACCAGCCCGCCGCACCATTATGTCTGCTGAGAAGGTGATCTTATCAAACGCTACGAACTGTCCAGACCTCTCAGACACAGTTTACTACTTGCATCAGTCTAGACTAAAGATGGCGGAGCAGCCTTCAGTGTCTATGCACCACATGTTAGGAACAAACTACAACTCTTAGTTCTTTTAGATTAAAGCTGAAGACTTCTCTGTTTATGCTGTTCATTAAACAAAGTCTTTGAAGTTTTATTAATATTTTACACTACAATATTTATCCGTCTCATTCTGTGCTTTCTCTCTTTATCTTATATTTGATTTATGCGTCTTTTTATATTTCCTTGGGTTTCTTTTATATTTAGTCCTTTTATATCTTTATCTCATCATATCTTTATATTAGAACGGGCTTATAAATACACTTGCCTTGTAAAATATGTCGGCATTTGAGGGACATTTGTTTAGAATGTAAAGTTTCCAACAAAAACTGTGAAATATATAAAAGTTTACATGAATAACTGACCTATTAAAAGATAGACTTCCCAATCTACTATTTGTGTGTGTGTGTGTGTGTGTGTGTGTGTGTGTGTGTGTGTGTGTGTGTGTGTGTGTGTGTGTGTGTGTGTGTGAGAGAACAGGTGAAGACCGGGTCGTACGACCCCCCAGAGCTGCCGTGTCTCGGTCACATCCAGATCAGTGTTTCTGCCGTCGGAGAGGACGGACTCATTTACACCAGAACACAGAACCAAGGTTCACATCAGAGCAGACCTTCACTGAGATCAACTTCTTCTTTCTACACGGGGGGGGGGGGGACAATGATATAGAACAGGAGGAGCTTTAGTTTGTATAAAAAGTACAGTGTTTAAGTATTCCCAAGAAGAGAGAACTCAAACATGTCTTTAGTGCAGAATAACGGGTAGAATGGCGTAATTCATAAAAAGCAAGTTGAATTTATTTGATAATTAATTTTACAAACAATGGAATCTATAAATCCAACATTTGGTTAAGTGTCCACAAGTGTTACCAGTGTTGGGGGGGGGGGGGGGGCTCTACATGTTACATATTACATATATATATTCACATGTTTACGACCTCTACTTACGACCGCTCTGCTCAGTCAGTTTCTCTGATTTGTTGTCACATGACTGTTGGTCTCAGATGAATCAATCATGACTTCATAGTTTATTTGGGGCAGATTTTTTTTAAATGAGGCATGTAGAATAAAATGTTTTTAATGAAATATCACACTTTTAAGCTTTGTTTCAGTTTATTTTTCTGACTGAACCCTTTGTAACACATGATGTGTTCAAGGACCGTCAGAAAGATGAAAATCTGACAATTACGACGTTTTTTCCAGCTTCTGGCTGAGATAAACGGTGTAGTTTAGGGGATTTGTTTAAAGAAAACGTGCTCTTCCATCCCGTGGTGGGTTTTAAGTGTCTGTGTCACAGTGACGTCTTTCATCTCGACTCCATCACGTCTTGTTTCTGTGTCAGAGGGTCAGCTGGAGCAGCTCAGGGACAGGATCCAGCAGAGCATGAAGACTTTGCCCAGACAGAAGCCCTACACCTGGAAGTCTGTGCAGGGCTGTGCCGTCATCGGACCGGACATGCTGTGGTACCGAGGAACGCTGCTGGAGGTGCTGGGAGGACACGTCAAGGTCTGGAAGACTAAAACACACTTCCCAGAGTCTTTATGAAGAAAGAAACCCTATCTATAACAAATATATCTTTACCTTCTGTTGGCACTAAGTAACCTCCATTAGCAGTAACACCAGTCAACCATGTAAATATGTTTAAAGGGAATATTAAATAGGCAAATTAATAGACTTTCCTTGCAGGTACAGAAATAAAACGTGTGTGTGTGTGTGTGTGTCCGTGTCCGTGTCCGTGTCCAGGTACAATATGTGGACTCCGGCCTAGTGGAGAACATCCCAGTGGTGCATGTGTACCCGATGCTGCTGTGTGACGACGTCCCTCAGCTCTGTATGCCCTGCCAGCTGCACAGCATCAACCCTGTAAGTGCGTGTGTGCGTGGGTGGTTTTGGTATTTCTTGTAATCGGTGATGATCTCCTCTGTGTCTCCTGAGGTCGGGGGGAGGTGGCAGCGGGATGCGGTGGCCTTGCTGAGGGAGGTGTTGCTGAACCGCTGTGTGGACATGCGAGTCACGGTAGAACAACACGGATGCCTTTTAATGAACACATGAATGCATGAACTGTGAAGTAGTAGTCAGCTGCTCCATTAGTGAAGCTTGGTTTATACTCGCCGTAGTGAATTTTTGTAACCAGCTCGTGTCTGATTTTAATTACTCTCTAGACGCTTTAGAAGCAGGAAGTCTTAAAAATCTACATGTGAGTAAATGTGTATCAGCCAAATCAAATAGTTTGGAGGATGTTCAACCTCTGTGTCTCTATAACACATTTAATAGTTGACTTGTTTCTTTACACTTATTGTAGAAGGACAATAAAGTCATCCATGGATATGAGTTTACACATCATTATAATCCCTCCTCTTCGTTGCATTACGGTGTTTTGCTGGTTACACTCGTTGTCTTTTTGATTCTTCACAGTTCATTCTGTGTGTGTGTGTGTGTGTGTGTGTGTGGGGTGGGTGGGTGGGTGGTAGGAGCTGCCCTCTGACCTGAGAGGACCCCTCACCGTTGAGCTCTTCCTGGATGGGCTGAGCCTCAACAGGATCCTGTGTCACCACGAACATGCCTCCATGGACCAGACGGTCTCTGCACAGAAGGTCTGTGTTGTGGTGGTCTGTGTTGTTGGTCTGTGGTGGTCTGTGTTGTGTTGGTCTGTGGTGGTCTGTGTTGTGTTGGTCTGTGGTGGTCTGTGGTGGTCTGTGTTGTTGGTCTGTGTTGGTCTGTGTTGTTGGTCTGTGGTGGTCTGTGTTGTTGGTCTGTGGTGGTCTGTGTTGTTTTGGTCTGTGGTGGTCTGTGTTGTTGGTCTGTGGTGGGCTGTGTTGTTTTGGTCTGTTGGTCTGTGTTGTGGTGGTCTGTGTTGTTGGTCTGTGGTGGTCTGTGTTGTGTAGGTCTGTGGTGGTCTGTGTTGTGTTGTGGTGG